TCCCGGGACACGAGCACCCCAAAGTCGGCGTCCTCGCTGCAGCCGCCCCACTTCCAGCCCTCGCCTGGTGGCCCCTTGTGATGCGAGTCGCAGCCACAGATGGTGGAGGTGCCCTCTGCGCAGGAGCGCGTGACGGCGAAGGCCACGCCAGCGGAGGCGATGGCGTGGACGAAGGCCGATTCGCGGGTGGCTGCGGAGGGGTGGGAGGGGGGATTGGGAAGCATCGCTTAGGCCAATCCTGGGACTCAGCTGCCCTGCCTCAACCTCCCCAGCCAGGCCAGCAGGGGTGGGGGGTGCGGGGGGAAGAGGGTATCCCCACTTTATGGATGAGCAAACTGAGGGCAGGGCCACTGGCTGATTAAACCAGAAGGGAGCCTGTTAGAAACGGGTGGAAACATAGCTCTGGGGGGTTGCTTAAGAGATTAGGTGGCCCTGATCTGTCCTAGCCCCAAACTCCAGAGACGCCAGCACAGTCCTGAGAGCCTGAGGTCTCGGCAGGAAGGCCGGGAACCTGCAGCCTGACCTACCCAAGGCCGCCCGCTCCCCACTGGGTGCGCTGGGCTTTTCTGAGCCTCGGTTTCCCTCGCCACAGACCCGCCAGCGTTCCTGACCGGGAGGGGGAGTGAGTCTGGCATCTCAGTCTCCCTCTCCCTCCCCGTCTCCACCTAGACGAGGCCAAGGTTCTGGGCTGAGAAGGTCAAGTCCCTCCTGGGAGGAGAGGACAGGGTCCAGCAAAGAAAGAGATTCTCGGGGATGTTCCCCCAACCTCGTTACACAGTAATGACCGCCTGTGGGTGCTCGCCTGTGGGTGCTCGGCAGGCACCAGATCCTCCCTCAGGGGCTACATCCCATTCAATCCTTTTCACCCGAGAGGCAGGAAGTCTGGTGGGCCCATCCTGCAGATGCGGACTAACGATCAGAGGCCAAGGCCGGAAAGGCACGCCGTCCAACCACCTCCTTCCGGCGAAGAACCCCGAGCAGGGACGTGACCTGTGCACGGCCTCGCAGGGCGAAGGGCTGGCCTAGGAGCCAGGCTCCCGTCCGGATGCTGC